GTTGTGGAAAGAAATTCAATGAAGGTATAACTGTGGAAAAGTACAGCTATATCAAGAATGAAAAAAAAAAAAAAAAAAAAAAGAATAAATAAATAATAATTAGAATAAAAACTTAAGTTGCTCTTATGATCCTATCTTTTTAGAAATTTTATTTCATGATGCTAGAGACTGAACTCAGGACTTCATACATATTAGGGAAATGATTTATAGCTAACCTATATATCCCTACCCTTCATTAACTTTTATACTTGCTCACAGCAAAAGAATAGAAAATGATAATTTTTAATTTAAAAAATTTACTGTGTCTCTGTACGTGTATGATGTGTGTTTATGGGCATGCACGCCACATGTTCATGAAGTCAGGAAAATTCTTTGTATCCTGATTCAAACAGTATAGGCTATTGCCATTGCCCTTGGTTGCCTCCCAGAATTTGAAGGTAAGAACCTACTGCTGAAGACAACACATACTTTTTGACACAGGACTTGGAGGAATCTTTCTGGAACTGAACTGGAAGTCTTCTCACTGAGGACCTGCTCGCATAGTATTGGAGGTGCTATGCAAGCTGCCAAGGGAGAAAAGCCATCAATAGTCCTACCCAGCTGTAAAGCCTATGAATCACAGCAATGACAGAGCCTGCAAGATATCTCCAATAGTAAAATAGTGGCATTTTTATCTTGGGGGTAACCAACAACTGTCTAATTGGATTTAAGGTCTGGTCAATAGGAGGGAATTCATGCCTGGTACCATAAACCTAGCCAATTACCCATGACTGGAGAGGATGTAGACCCTAGAGAACCTTTTACTGCCATTATCCTAACCCAGTATAATTTCTAACTGTATTCTAAATATTTATCCTTATACCCACAGAGAAGTATAGCTCTCAGGCCTCATCAAAAGAGCATCCTTCTGCAGTAGATGACTACTACAGAGATTTACAACTGGTCAAAATGCAGAGAATAAGTGACCACAGGGGTGCCTTGCTCAAGTCCACACACCTACAAAGCAATCCCTACACTTATAGACAGGGAACACAGAGGAGGTGGAAAGATTTTAAGAACTAGAGGACTAGGTTACCGGCTGTTATATACCATCTTGTGGCAGGACAGGGAAGCTGCACCCATGAAATCACAATATGGTTGCCTAAATCAGATCTGCATAAAGACAACACCAGTGGACATACCAATGTGGATGGGGGAAGTTTCACAAAGTCTACCCCTAGATGAAGAGCTACAGGTAATCAATGGCTGCTGAGAGAGAGAATCCATTCTCAAGAGGAGCTCCCAGATAGGCTATCCAGTCCCAGGTGGTCATCCCTAAACACATGTACATACAAGCAACTCTTCATTAGGTTGTAGATGTATATATACACATGTATGTAAATACTGTTTATATATATGTAAACAATAATAATTAAAGAAGTCATGAATTAAAGAATAGTGGGGAGATACACAAGGATGTTGGAGGGGAGAAAGGGAGGTATGTAAACGATATTAATATGATACTCATGTATGAAATTCTCAAAAACTTTAAAAATTTTTATTTATTTATTTATTTATTTATGTGCATGAGTGCTTTGTCTGTATGTATGTAAGTGCACCCATGTTGTGTGGTGGCCATGGAGGCCAAAAGAAGGCATCAGATCCCCTGGAACTGGTTACGGACAGCTGTTAGTCACCATGTGGGTGATGGGATGAAGAACAAATTTCAATTTAAAAAATGAAATAACAGCAAGGCATGGTAGCGCACGCCTGTAGTCCCAGCACTTAGGAGGCAGAGGCAGGCAGACCTTTGTGAGTTCAAGGCCAGCCTGGTCTACACAGTGAGTTCCAGGACAGCTGGGGCTATTAATAACCTATCAAATCCAATTTGTGCTGCCTACATACTCCTGGGGCTGGGGCCATCCACTGGAGCTGTCTCAAAAAGACAAACAAACAAACGAATGAATGAATACATGAAATAAAGATTATAGGATGAAGAGGCCTGGGAAAAAGTACTAGAAACTTTCTTAGAAAAAGCCAATTGACAAGACCACTGCATAATGATCTCACAGCAGCTGTGGCTGCCTGCTCAAGATCAAGCCAGTCAACACTCTAGCATGGATGGCATAGGTGCTCATGAGCTTCCACCCCTAACTGGGGAGATGACAGTCGATAGCTTCCGGGGGACAGAGAATCAGTTTTCTTTAAGAGTAAGGCTCCCAGTAGTTCACCCAAGCTCCAGTGGATGATCCCACCCCCAGGAGTATATAAGCAGCACAAATTGGATTTGATAGGTTATTAACAAAAAAGAAGGACATGAAGTTGGAAAGGAATGCAAGGGTGAGGTGAGGATCTAGAAGGAGTTGGGGAGCAGGGAGAACAGGAGTGAATATGACCAAAATACTTTGTATGAAATTCTTAAAAATTAATACAAATACTAGGTTAAAATTTTTTTAAAAGAAAGAGAAAGCCAACTGAAAATG